TGAATTAAAAAATAAATGGCCAAAGTCTACTTTAAAAAAATACCAAAGGCATGCCTGCTTTCATAAAGGCATACAATGAAATGGCATATCTGCACCTTTTTATCTGAAGAAGTTGAAGAAGGGCAGAAGCATCAGAGACTGAGTAGATATGTAGAGCAAATGTTACAAAAAACAAATATATATTACCTTTAATAAAATTTACAAGTAATTAAGAAACCAATCAAAGCCTTTGTCGAAGAACCTAATTAAAAACCATTCGGTTAAAGAACAAAATCAAATGGCTTATGCATTAATTTTCTTTTATAAACATGAAACTGAAGTGCTTTATTAGTAGGCAATCATTTCAAAATAACAGCATGGGTCCCAGCTACATAATAGTAACAGAGAATCACTTATATCCTTTGATTTCTCTCTGGTCACAACTGATAAATCTGAGCCTTCAAAATGACAGAGTGGAAAGACATTACAGCCAGGGACCTCTGCCTTCCAAGTATTAAGATACTGGATTTTGATTTTAGAAAACTCTTCTTATACCTAAACTACATCAGTAAATACTGAAGAGCCAGAGCATGTAATGAAGAGAGGGATGTTCATGAGAACCAGTTTTTAAAACTTGTACCTAGAGAAAAGTATATATAAGACTACCCATAGGTTAACAGAAGATAAATAATAGTATTTAAATTGTACATTGAGCCCAGCCAATGTGGTTCAGTGGTTGAGCATGGACCTATGAACTAGGATGTCACAGTTCAATTACAGATCAGGGCACATATCGATATATCTATACTAATAAAAGCCTAAGTGGTCCTTGTGTCCTTGTGCGATATCTTCAAGTTATCATAAGATGGCCACCACAAGATGGCCAGCAGGGGAGGGCAGTTGGGGGTGACCAGGTCTGGAGGGTAAGGCAGTTGTGGGCGATAAGGCCAGCAGGGTAACAGTTATGCATCAATCAGGCTAGCAGGGGAGTTGTTAGGGGGCAATCTGTCAGGCAGGCAGAAGTGGTTAGGGGCAATCAGTCAGGCAGGTAGGTGAGCAGCTAGGAGTCAGCAATCAGCAGTCCCTGATTGTGAGAGAGATATCCAACTGCTGGTCCGACTGCAGGATTGGGCCTAAACTGGCAGTCAGACATCTCCCAAGGGGTCCCAGATTGAAGAGAGTGCAGGCTGGGCTGAGGGATACCTCATCTCCATAGCCCTGGACAAATTTCGTGCATTGGGACTCTAGTATATCTATATTAGCCAAACTATTTTTGTTTCCATGGGTAAATTGGAAGACTATCTGACAATTTCATTTAAATCTTAAGAGATGTATGCTTGTGCACAAACCTTGTGGAATTCCACTGGATTTGGCAATATCACATAATTATAGCAATCTTACTGTCTTCTAAGCAGACTTCTTGTATTTTGGATAAAAATACACTTTAAATTTACTATCTGATTCCTGTAAGATTTATTGTTTGGGGGGGGGGCGTTTAACACAATACAAAAGTTATTGTCCCATCTTTTTTCTCCAATGTCCTGAAATACCCTATACCTCTTAAGGAAAGCATTTTACAGCTTTCTGTATAAAATGTAGTATAACAGAAAGAAAAGTACCTGTCAAGCAGAACAAGAATTGGTCAAGTTACAGAAATGCAAAGCTCCTTTTTTTTTTTTGGTAATAATTTCCATATGAATAAAATTACACAAACCATTTAGACAGACACTTGAGTGAACCTAGAACACAGCTATCAGAACAATGCTAAAATTGGGTCACATAAGCCATTGCCTTTATCGAACATTTTGTGGTCCTAATGCTGTAAAATGGAGGGGGTGGACAGTTTCCCATTGATTATTACTGACACATTAGTATTTGAAAATAGCCAATCTCTTGAAAAGGGAAACTAAATTTATCTTTCCTCTCATTTAGCTTCCCTCTATATGCATTAGCCATGCAGAGGGAGAGTTCACAAAATTCCTACAGAAATGGATACATGGTAATCAGCTGTGCCTACTTTAGTAACAGGCATTAATATGAGCAAGCAAGCTAAACTATTTCATAATTAAAGAGTATCTCTTAGAATATGAAAAATTAATTTTCTTCTGTAGCCACGTTCAGTTTCTCAGTGGCTAGAACCTGGAGGCCACATTTTCTAGTGAATACGGTTGAATTACGACATGTGATATGTCAGCATTCATTTATAATTCTGCTACAGTTCTCCTAAGTAACTTTGCATCCTCACAGAATTAAGCATTGGGAGATGCTGCACTTAATGCATGAAATTCAATAAGGAGAGCATTAGCACTGTACTGATGTTCTCATATTATCAAAAAGAATTCATGTCTGGCTGATGTGACTCAGTGGTTGAGCATCAACCCATGAACCAAAAGATCACAGGTTTGATTCCTAGTCAGAGCACATGCCTGGGTTGAGGGCTCAATCGATCCCCAGTAGCGGGTGTGCAGGAGACAGCTGATTGGTGATGTTTCTATCTAATGATGTTTCTATGCCTCTCCTTCTTATCTCCCTAAAAATCAATAAAAATAATTGAAATAAAGAGGAATTCATTCTAAAATTCAAGGGAAAACATAAGAGTAATAATCAAGGTCTCTGGATGAGAGTTTAGATCTGATTTAGATATTTAAATTTAGTAAATGTTCAAAAGTAAATTCTTTTAGAGTTAAGATATATTGTTTATATATTCAGTGTGTATACATCAATTATATAAATACTAGAGGCTTGGTGCATGAAATTCTTGCACTGGAGTGGGGGTATCCCTCAGCCCAGCCTATATCCTCTCCAGTCTGGGACTCCTGGGATTGCCGTCAGACATCCCTCTTGCAATCTGGGATTGCTGGCTTCTAACTACTCACTTGCCTGGTAGCCTGATTGCCCCTAACCACTCTGCTTGCGAGGCTGATCGCACCCTAACCACTCCCCGGCTCATCTAATTGACACCTAACTACTCCCCTGCCAGTGCAATTGCCCCCAAATGCCCTCCCCTGCCAACCATATTGTGACAACATGGGGGCGACCATCTTGTGACACAACGGCATGAGGGTCCATTTGCATATTACCTCTTTATTCTATAGGATATATACATATATATACACACACACATATATATGTATATTATATGGCCTTAGCTTGATTTGTTAGATATTCACTGGCTACCTCTTTCTCCCTGAGCATAGACATAGTGGAAACTTGCTATATAAATGTATTATCATGGAAAGTTATGCAAAATTAATATTTTATCAAAAAATAAATAAATATTTGGAGTATGAATACTTTAATTTTTATATGTGGACTAAGAAATGTATGGCTATATGTTATATATGGGTGAATATATCTTTCTAGCCAAACCTATCTATAGTTCCAAATAATCTCCATCAACATAAAATAAACACCAGCTAAGTTTTTTGAGAAAAAAAAAAGAATTTATATAAGATAACTTTTAAATAATTCCTAAAATTAGAATATGAATGAAGGTTTAGTAATTCAACTTTAATACTAATATCTTACCCGTATTTTCTGACGTATAAGACGACTTTTGAAACGAAAAAAAGTCAACCGAAAATCGGGGGCAAAAGACCAAAATTGCACAAAAATTACCTGCAGCTCTTGATGGCAAAGTAAGTCTTTTCTTTGAAGTGGGGGGTAGTCTTATACAGCGAATATAAGCCCAAACCTATGTTTTAACTGTAAAATTAGGGGGTCGTCTTATACACCGGAAAATACGGTATCATTTTTCAATGTTCATATTAATTAATCATATTTGTATAATTTTCTTAATATGGAATGAATGTTAGAACTGTACTTCCACATACACACATACAAATATGTTTATCTGTTGTTTATTTGCGTGTCTTGTTTTCCAGTCCAGAATTTACACACTATGGTTGCTTATAAACTTGTTTTTTATAAGTTGCTTATAAACTGGTCTCACTCTCCTGCTAGGTTTTAAGATATTCAAGAAAGAATGAATATCTTTAGTTGGGTTTCATTTTGCAAACACATTTCTACCATGGGGGAGAGATCTGACTGTAGAAGAACTTACAGAAGTAAAGTAAGACTTACAAAAGGGTAATTTCATTGTGGGTGGTAGCGTAAATGTCTTGTCACAATAGGGAGATGCATAAGTGAGGACAAAGTGAGGGTCAGCTGCTCATCAGAGAACTCATGGAAGGCTTCCTAAAAATGGTAGCAGAGCTGTACCCTAAAGTTTAAGTATATAAATCAGGCAAAGCAATGTAAAGAGGGCATTTTAGGTCAATGCAAACAATATGCATAGAGACCCAGAGACATGAAAAGAGCATGATGCCTGTGGCATAAATACAAGCACACAGATAGTACATGCTACCAGATGTTTGCTGTGCCAGTGGCCAGAGGTAGGGTTGAGGAAGAGAATGATAGTAAGTACATCAAGGCCCTGATTGGACCTTACTCTTTTGGCCACAGGGAGAATTTTATGCTTCTTCCTGTTTCCTAATGGTTGTATCTTGGCACCTAGCACAGGGGCTTGCTTGTTCTTTTGCCAACAATGTAAGAGATTATTTTTCCAGCTATAATCAACTTTAAATATTAATGAAATACAGAAGACTGTCACTGCAAATTATATTCAGAGACAATCTATTGGAAAATCTATTAAAATGAATTAAGAATATTGACTCATATCTGAAACTAGGTGTTGGTAAATTGTACTGACTAAATCAATAAGTGAGCCTATGTCTCTGGGCAGGACCACATGAGAAGTAAAGAATACTTTGAAAAAAAAAAGGAGAAGAAAAGAAGAAATAGAGGAAGAAGGGGAAAAGGAGGAGGGGGAAGGAAGAGGAAGAACAGAGGAAGAGGAGTAACAGGAGGATGAGAGAGGACAGAATAGGACTAGTAACAGGAGGAGGAGAGTAACACAAGATTTAAAATTCAAAAGTAATGGCAAGCGTTTCCCTAGGTCAGAATCTTCATTGTATCCCTCCCTCCATGCTCTCAGAGGGAGTCACACAGGAACCTCTCACCTGGGCAGGTACACTTCCACTTTCTGCTTCTTCACAGAGTTCGCCCAGTCTTCAATCAGCTGTGCTTTGAGCAGTGGCTCCAGAGTGGCCAGTGGAACTTCCTGTCTGGACAACACCAGCATCATACTTAACTCATCTCCCTCATAAGGTATTTCCAGGACTTGGTAGATACCACCAGCTTCATTGGAGCCATCACTAAATTCTCCTAAAAAGAAAAGACATGTGATAAAAGGGCCCATGTCAAAGCCGAAATAAAAGGTTTAAATTTGTTACAACTTTTTTTAAAAATAGTATATACAATATAAGAAATGTTGGCATCCGAGAAAAAGAAGGTTTGTTTAAAAACAGACCTTGAAATTCAAATGAATCCCAAGTCCTGCAAAATTTATTTATTTTAGAAATCCCAGAATTAGTTCACATTGGCCCTAACATGTTTTCTAGATTTAGTTTATATTTTAAGATGATATTTCAAATAAATATAGATATTAAGGATATTATTAGAAACAATGAAATGCCTGGTTAGAAAAAGAAAGTCCTGAATCCTATACCACATTTACCAATAGCTACCTGATTACTAAGAAGGGAAAAATTGACCATAAATACCTGATACTCTATTAATACCACAACTAAAAGTTTTGAGGCAAAGGTAGCATAGCTAAAATAAAACCCCATTCCTTTCTACAATAGCTATATAGTGTGTTTGTGGTGATAATCACCTTCAGATTAGGTAATTAGGTAAATTAGATAACTGGCTTTGTGTTCTATAAACTTAACTAAATAGACAAGGCTTTCATAAAAAGCTCAGGCAGTCTTTAAAACAAATGGTCCTGCCACAATTTTATAATTGTCCCCATTTTTCAAAAAAAAAAAAAAAATAATGCTTTTGTTGTGAATATTTTCCTATAATTGATCTAGGGCTCTTAAACTTCACATTAATCATTTCAATTCTCAAGTAAATGGGTATTTTCCTTTCTAGTTTTTACTGTTAACTTGATTACCTGTGATTATAATGTTTTACTTTTAGAATGTATTGGTAAATAAAATAAGCTAGTAGTTATAACATATACTTAGCTTACAGTTATATTTCTGCATAACAACAAACTCTTACAGCTTAATGCAGGGTGTAGGAAGGACTCACACCCAAGACTTCTATAAAGTCTAATGAAACATCTTTGAAAATAATGCAAAAATACTGAATTGTATCATAAATTATAGACACTAAATAAATGAAACTATGAATAAATAATTTTGTCTGCCTTACATACATAGGTGTGAAAGCAAAATTTCAAAAAAAAATGATTGTAATTCAAAAAGTTATAAAGTGTCAAATCAAGAGCTGGGTGGAACATATGGACCAGTGGAAACCACACCAGAGCCTATGGCTTTTTTTTTTAGTAAATGAAGAGTCTTACCCTAGAATTTTTATGTGAACTAAGTCACTTTGTAGATGTGATAAAATGTATAAATGAATGAAACGTATTGAAGAGCTGTCACTGCACATAATACTCATAATATTCACTCAGGATTTAATTAGAGGCTTGGAAAATGGAGCTAAAAAAATTTAGTTTAAACTAAATTGACAAGAACGTTAAGTACTGAATATTTCATGTTCTTTCTTAAAAATTTGTCAAGCCCTAGCCAGTGTGGCTCAGTTGGTTGAGCATCATCCTATGCACCAAAAGGACACTGGTTCAATTCCTTTTTAGGGTACATGCCCAGGTTTTGGGTTCGATCTTTGGTCCGGGTACTTATGGGAGGAAACTGATCGATCTCTCTCTCTCTCTCTCTTTCTCTCTCTCTCTCTCTCTCTCTCTCTCTCTCTCTCTCATTTTAAAAAAGAAATGTGTTGATATACCTCAAAAAGAGAGAAATAAAAGCCAAAATGTCATACCGTAATAAAATTCTCCTTGTTGGTACATCATTGGAATTTGTACTTCACTTTCATCATCTTTAGTGAAGGAAAAGGTTCTAGTATTTTCGGGTCTAAATTGTGACTTCCAGTTACCCTTGAAATAGACAGCATTGATGAGGGCCAGATGAGTGACAGCGGCAAAATCTCTTGGGGATACCAAATCTTTCAACAGACCTATTCAGGAAAAATAAATGGATGAAAATTATAACAAATTAGAAATGAAAGGGGACCAAAGATTATCAAATTATCATCCAACAGAGTGATTCAGGAAAACTCTATACCGTTACTAAATCTGTAATAAACCTTAAAAATACCTTACTTTCAAAAGACAAATGTTACACACACACATACACACATATACACATACAATTATAGCTTAAGGGCATCTAAAACAGCCACAACACCTAAAATAACGTGTTGATACATGCACCAACTGCAGAACTACCTGCAGCAGAATCTCAGGCTTCAACCCTTCCTAATTGCAACTGATGCATGTAACATTCAGCACAGAGTAAGCACTCAATAAATGGTGCTATGTTTATTCTTGAACATTGTACATTGTACCAAATTTTGCTCTGTATTCTCTCGTTTTATTAACTATTGCGCTTCTGAGTTTACGGAGGTGCTTCAGTTTTGGGGGATTGATAGGAATATGGCATGTCATCGGGATTTTTTGTTGCTGTTTCAACATAAAATTTAATAGATTAACATTAATTGGAGAGTTTGACAATATAAATTAATTTAATGAACAGCTGTGGTAAAACTACGTTAAATTTTGTCTCATTTTTTTAATTCTATTTTCATTTTTTATCTTAAAATTAGAAAATAGAATTATAAAATATGAAACATTTGGAAACGGAAATACGCTTAGAATACATGAATTAAAAATAAAATTTTAAATTAATACATCTCTTTCTAATTTCTTTCCACTTGTTTGTGCTTAAAGTGGGCTGCTCTTTTTAAAAGGAATCTTATACAATTTTTTGATTACCAATCAAGTCTTGTTGTTTAAAAGCCAACAAAAAAAATCTTTAAACTCCAACTTTTAACTTTCTTATTTTATTTTAATCATAAGATAGGTACCATCAACTGTCATTCCAATCAGTATCTAATTTATTAAAGAGCTCAAGCAAAGTTCTATACTCAAATTAGTACATAGGAAAAACCCATCAACTGGGGAGTGTTAATCAATCAGATCAAAATTCTAGGCATGGCAAAAGACTAAACTTAATAGTATTTCTCAAATGTTTATTCATCAGCAATGCTTCTAAAAAGACTTTAATCTATGTAGAATGATTATTAGACACTTAACTAAATTCTATATAATATACAAAATAGAAAAGGAATGAGGAGACAAATAATTGCAGGGATAAGAGAGAGTCAAAACAAAGCTATTTGAGAAAGAAAAGAAGCAAATGACATACTATTTGTGTTATTCTCCACCCACTTATTGATGTGGTTGGCCACAGCAATATTTTGACTGAAGTCCACATGATTTACTTCTGCATTAAAATATTTTTTCATCATTTGCAAAAATTCATCATTGACATGAAATTCGTTTTGCACAAAGAGGGAACTGGCAATTTTCAGCACATACTGGCTCTTTTCAGCAGTGGCCATGTTAGAAAAATCCTTTAAGAAGGGAAATTCTTCACCTGAAAAAATGACATAGGGTAAGTTTAACAGAAGAACAACAGAGAACATACGGGGCAGTACAAACATAGCCAACAGGCCCATAGGAAAAGCACTTGCTTATTCTTCACATTGACATGGAAAGAAAGTTCAATATTTCTGTGACTTCTAGATGTTCAACAGTTTTGAACTTTAGTGTTACCAACTGATATTATTTTTCATTTTAATTGATATCTTGGAAGACTCTATCAAGGAAAGTTTTTTTTTGGTTGTTTATTTTCAAAGTACTTAGGTTACTTTCATTAAATTAGTCTTCTGTTTATCAGAAATAAGAATTAAGTTTAATTTTCTAGCTTAAAAATGATTCCTTTAAATTTACTTTTATTAGATTTTTTAAAAACCTTATAACTAGAAAATCCTTTATAAATTGTTTTAGTTCTTACTTCTTAATGAGTTAATTCACGTGTATATAAGAAACATTAAAATATAAATCTTATATCATGTCAAACTGATTACAAAATACCTTTTGGCTACAATTTTTTTTTTTACTATATATAATTGTCATAATAATGAAAACATGATTTTAACCAAAAAATTCTGATATTCTTAGGAATCATGTTTCTTTTCTTTATAGTACTCATCACAGTTGTAACATTTCATTTACTTATATGATCATTGATTACATACTAGTATGTCTCTCCATCTAGACTTAAAATTCTATCAGAGCAAGAACCATGCTTGCTTTTGTTTATCACAATAAGGTTTATTTAAGTATTATTATTATTATTAATATATAATTTCTTTCAATTAACTCAGCCAGGATGGAACCCAGAATTAACTCCTTTCTTGGGTTTCCTGAAGTTTTTCCTAGCCATACCATACTGATGAGAATACTTTCTCACTGTGTGAAATATTGCTGTCTCTGGCATAGGCAACATAACTGAGCTGAAAGTTAAAGTTAAACCATCCTGAGAAATCAAACCTGAGCACACTTACCATTTTTCAGCCTGTCATATCCCATTGAATGACGGATTTCTTTCAGGGTAGTCCCTTGGGATCCCAGTTCCATCATTCCCATAGCAAGGGTGACGCTCAATGGAGAGAAAAGGATATTTCCATCTTCCGCAGTGGCTCGAAGGTTATTATACATATTCACCGAGAACTCAGCAATGGTTTCATCAGAGAAAGTGGTCCCTACGGCCAAACGTTGCAAAAGCAGCAAAGAGAAGAGCCCAAGGACAGCCATGTTGGAAGGGTTTCAATCCTGGAGAATGGTAATTTACATATTAATTATCTCAGGAAGATAAAGAAGACTATATATAGGAATTCAATTTTAGTAAAGTTGTAAAGCAAACCAAAAGTTTTTAAACATATATGGTATTAATGTCTCTATAACAAAAGCCCAATTAAAGGATATGTTGGAAAGACCACCCCCTTTTGTTTTGCTTAATCCCTTCACCTTTTATATCCAGCCCCCCAACTTCCCCTTTACTCTAACAGCTGTAAGTCTGTTCTCTATAAGGAAGGTCCTGATTTCAAAAAGTAAATTAATAGTCAATTGAATAAATAACATTGCTAAGTTCTGCAGATATTCTCAGAAACAAGATGGCCCTGGCCCCTACCTTCATGGGTTAAGGTTAGGTATAGATACATACCAGGTATACAAGTAATGACAGGTTGTGTTTGTTGGAGATAATCAATTCATTTTTCATAGCCTCAACATATATATTTTGGCCATAATTTTGAAACGGTTTACTCTAACTTACACCCCACAACATAGATCCAGGACAACTATAATGAAAACCAAAAGATATTCACAGGGTCTAAGATGAACTTGTGAGGTTAGGCATTTGAATATGCCACTTGACTCATTCACTACCATTTTTAAAGGTAACATGCCATGCAGCTGGGTTACCAAGGAGTGGGACGAGATCAGAGATCAGACACACACCTGCCACAGGCCCATTTATTCAGCCCAGCTGCAGAACCCACAGGAAATGGTGAAGTGGTAACCCAGAGAAAAGGCAGATTTAGCACATCCTTGTTTGCTTTTTCTCTTACACGTTAGTTTCCTCTGAGCCTACTGCTCCCAGTGACAACCTTAGAGTGGGAAAAACCTTTCTATACTCAGGACATTGCTATCATGTCAGCTTCTACCAACAAGCCAGTGGTTCTACTTAAATGAATGTGTCTAAATATCAAGCTCATCTGGTTCTTTTTGTTGTTGGTTTTTGTTTTGTTTTGTTATTCCTCACTTGAGGATATTTTCCCTTATTTATTTATTTATTTATTTATTTATTTATTCATTCATTCATTCATTCATTCATTCATTTAGAGAGGGTAGAAAGGAGGGGGAGAAACAGAAAGAAATATGGATGTGAAAAAGACACATCATATGGTTACCTCCTGCACATAACACAACCAGGGCTGAGGAACCTGCAACCAAGGTATGTGCCCTTGACTGGAATTGAACCTGGGACCCTTCAGTTCACAGGCTCTATCTACTGAACCAAACAGGCTAAGGTGCTCATCTGGTTCTTGAACCAATTTCTCTTGGGAAGAGAAAGAAGTGTCAGTGCCCAATATCTGAATAATATTTTTGGCTCTCATCAGTGTCCCAAAAGCACTGTCCCCCACAAACAGCCAGACTGGCACACACAGAGGACATGATTCCCTGGTATCCTCCCACTGTTCCCTAGGTATCTGAAAGCTAAGCTGCTTATTTAAACAACTAAGCAGGTTACTTGTTATGCTATATAATAAAAGGGTAATATGCAAATTGACTGAATGGCAGAACAATTGGTCACTAAGATATGCATTGACCTCCAGGGGGCAGATGCTCAATGAAGGAGCTGCTTGATCACTTGATCAGAGCCTGTTGGGACAGAGCCAATGAGCAAACAGCCAACCTCTCAGTCTCTCGCCCCAGCAAACAGGCTCCGATTGCCTGATTGTGAATGTAGAACAGGAGGGTGGATGGTGGCAGGGGGTGGGACTGGCTGGGGAAGATGGCCCTGATTGTAGGATAGGCCTAGGAACCGAACCCATGCATAGATTTCATGCACTGGGCCTCAAGTCTATAATATATATATATTATAAATAATATATAATAATATATAATAATAAATAATATATAATAATAATATATAAATAATATATAAAAGTCTAAGTGACTGAATGACCAAACCACCAATAACCAAATGACCAGTCGCTATAACATGCACTAACCACCAGGGGGCAGATGCTCAACACAGAAGCTGCCCCCTGGTGGTCAGTGCACTCCTATAGCCAACCTCCTGTACACTTCTCCCGGGCAGCTAGCCCCATCAGCCCCAATCACCAGCGAGGCCAGGAACCCCACTCATGCACAAACTCGCCTCTAGTGTGCATATACATGTGTGTGTGTATATGTATATATATATTTTAAATCAACATAAAAATAACATCTAAAGTGATGTTGAATAAACACATTTGGAAAATTGTTTTTCAATTAGTATGAAACTTTAATTGTCCCATTACTCAGTTAAGAGAGTGCACATACAGTTAATTAAGAGCAGTGTGTTTCCAACAGATTTTTGAGTCAGAGCTTTCTAATCAGTCCTGTAATATTTTACATTTCAATATTAGAGAACTGCCTGGTAATTTGTAAGTATTTCACATTTTAGGGTTTAGTTTTAGATGTCAATTCTCTTGACTGAGAGGTTCCAAGTTCCTGCTCTCCCAACTCCATTGTAAAAAATACATATTTTTATTGATTTCAGAGAGGAAAGGAGAGGGAGAGAGAGAGAGAAACATCAATGATGAGAAAGAATCATTGATTGGCCACCTCTTGCACACCTCATACGAGGGACTGAGCCTGAAACCCAGACATGTGCCCTGATTGGAAATTGAACGTTGACCTATGAACTCCTGGGTCATAGGTCAACGTTCATTCGCTGAACCATGCTGGCTGGGCTTGCAAGTGTTCTCTTACTGCCAGAAAGATACCCAAATCACTAATGCATCTTTGGGCTGCTAGAAGACATCTGGAACGAGCATCCATGTGTTGTTAGAGGGCTCTTCCCAGGGCAGTGAGCCGCAGGCCACAGATTTACATGGCTGTGATTGGTGGGAGTTTGTCATGTCAGGCAACTCCTTAGTAAAGACCTAAAACACTCTGCTCTGATTATCCATAATTAAATGATCTCCCCTTCTCTTTGAAGGTAAGATTCCCAGTGTGCAAGCAAAACGATCTCTGCTAACCTGGTCCAACCTCTCTGATACTGCCTATCTCACCCCTAATCCCTAGCCCCACTCTGATTACTCTGCTGTCTGATTACTACTCTGTCCGAGTCTTTTCTTTTCTCCCAGGAGAGAGGGAAAGATTTCCTTTCCTCCTCATTCCTTCTAAGTGTAGTTGTTCTCCACGTATCTATTCCTGGTCTTCTCTCTGTAACGTTCTTCTCACTCCCACTGGTGAACTCTCAAAACAAAGATACTTATGCTATTATCCAATCACATTATTCCCAAGTATGCAACATTCTAGCTCTGGCTTTATTTTTATCTTAATTTCTGATGTGCATTGCAAATTGCTCTCGATATATTTAGTCTCTGACTCTTGCTAGCACTTCAAATTCAAGGTGGCACAAACAGGACTCTGTCATCAATCAAACCCATTCTCTTTTTCTCTCTCTCTTAGAAAACCAAAATCCTTGTCTCCTCTCCATCTCATTTCCCCTTATGTTCAATAAACTGTCAACACGTATTCCATACTGCAACCCTGTCACCTCTCCTGTCCATCATCCTGTGGCCATTCCCATAACCATGGTGACAGTTCTTCCCTTTAATGCATTTTCAAGGACTCCAACAAAATAGCTCTCAGCCATTCTTTGAATCTCAGGTTACCTCCCTCTTCCATACAACATATGCATAGCCTCCAGGTGAATTGTCTTTTATGGATATGGATTCCTAAATTAATAAAATAGGATCTCTCTCATGCCTGTAGACTAAAGCCCACAAACTTTAGTCTCGAATATAGCCTACTGCACCGTGACCCTGAATGACTTTCTCCCTACAACTCTCCTTTAGGAACCGTGCAATTCTACCCAGATACCCTTTTGCAGTATATATCCCAGAATTTCCCTCTCCTGTTGCTGAATCACATAGTTTGTTTTCTGGAACTACTTCAACCTGATTTCATATGTTCAAATCCTAACCACTCCTCAAGGTTCTGCTCCACTTCTATTTCCTATATGAATACCCTTCTGGTTCTTTTTAAAACAATTCTCCCTCTCTAAAATCTTGGCACACTGTCTCTCTACCGTAGCACATGATGCTACTTTCTCTTATTACAGATAATTCCGTACATGCATCATTTCTTTTCCTAGACGTTAAGAAGGCACAAATGGAAATACATTCATTTGTATATGTTAAGATAATCAGATAATCAGAATAAGCACCTAATGCATTAAACATAGTAGGCACCAAATAAATATTTGTTGAATTAATAGAGTATGAGCTATAAAGATCCACAATGCTGCATTAGAAGGAACAAACGGCAAGAGTAGCTATTGCTTCTAAATTCCTGAGGCTAATTTAATCAGAGCCCAAAGGTAGTACCTCATTTCCATTTTTTATTCCTTTTGATAAAGTGTTTCCTTATTGAGTCTGAGACCATCTTTCCAGCCTGACAAAGTGGCACTGTCAGTAATGCTGGCATAATTCAATGGCTGGACATGGGATGCATTAACAAACAAGTACACCACCTTGAAAAATCACAAAAGGTGCTACCCAAATGTTGCTGTATTAACATTCGTCTACAAAATGCCAGAGCTCCGCCATTTATCATAATAACACATTCTAAAATGAGTTACTTTCACTTAGAGCATTATTTTGTAGATTCATTATTTTCAAGCTTCTGTAAATAAAATGCCTTTGCATAAAAACAAGGATCTGCAGAACCTAGAATAGTAGATAGTGCTGTTGTGCTAGAAAAGACAGAAATAGCTAAGTTGTAAATAAAATGCCATTAATTCTCACATTTCTCTTCTTTGTGGTAGGGTAGATTGTGTGCATTGTGTGCATGCATACTGCTTTAGAAAACACTTCATTGAAACAGGTCAGGAAGTAAATCTTGTAAATGAGGTCTGAGGAGTCATAAAACTAAAAGATAGCACCATAAAAAAGATGGTCTTTTTAAAACTTCCTTAGTAACCTTATTTATAGAGATGGATTATTCATAGATGCAACTTGCTTTGTTTGGGGAAC